CGGCGACGGTCCTGGCCATGCAGCTGGGGACAGACGCCCAGCCGAATTATCTTGCAGGGTGCGTGGAGGTTGGATCGCATACTATCCAAAATCCACTCAATTCTTTGCCATGTGTACGGAACACGAGTCTTGTAAAATACGTCGCACTTGCAAGTCCAAAGGACTTGGTCATGATGGTTTTCCGAAGGGTGGGCGCCCGCTAGGATTCTTGGCTTCCTGGCTCGCCTCGGGCACCGCTCTCACTTGCAAGGCAGAACACGTGGACGTGCTCAAAGATGGGGCACCCCAGTTGCAAGATCCCGTTGAGAGAACGCGCTTCCGTCATTCGTTGGCTGAGCATGCCGACGCTCGTGCTTTGTTTGAGAAGGAGAGGCCACGCGAGGGTGCGGAGCCTGAGGAACCCCTTACGCTAGACGGGTACTTGGCCTAAGGGGGAGCTGCCAGCTCAATGCTGGAAAATCGTACTCGTCCTCCGCATCCTAACCTTCCTCCTCCTCCTCCTCCTCGTCCTTCCCCCTCCCTCCTCCTCCTGTCCCCTCTCTCGTCGCCCCTCCTCCAGAGGCTTCCTGAACGATCTGAGGCTTCTCCGAAAGCTTCTCTCGCAGCACGAAGTATTACGTCTCCTCGAACGCTGTGAAAAACCAGTGGAACTAGAGAACGTGTGTCAAAACAGTCACTTTTGACTCAATTTCCGACCCAGTTCGGACACCCCTTGGGAGAGGAAGTGACTGCTGAGAGTCACTTTGGGACACCCACCTGTACTCAGACTCACTTCTAGACCCACTCGCGGTCCCAGACCCATTCCAGGAGTCACTTTTTGAGTCACTTTTGAGTCAGTTTTTGCCTCGCTAAAATCATTTCTGGGACCCCCCCCCCCGCCGCCGGCATGCCAGTGCATCGGGCGGGCCGCCAGTGAGTCTGAGGAGCTACTGGTGGCCGCGCCTAGGGCGTGAAGTGGCTGCCGCCGTCAACTGCTGGCCGCGCCCAGCGGCGCGGGTGGGAGGTGCGGGAGGCAGCAATGGAGGGAGAGGAGGGGGAGGAGGGGGAGGAGGACGACGACGAGGAGGACGGAGGAGGAGGGAGCAGGAGGAGCAGGAGGAGGAGGAAGTGGCTGAGCAGGAGATGCCAATATACATCTATCCTTGCAGACCTTTGGGGCCGTTCAAGAATCCGTAACCCTACCGACCCTACAGACCTTTTGTCAGCCTTGCAGGCCCTGAACCTTACAGACCCTTATCCCTGCGGGTCCTTGGCTTTCGGCTTCGGCCCTGGGGCTTTTGGCCGCTCTTGGCCCCTGGTGCCCTTGTCTGAGAGAACTGCAAACTCTTACGTACCCCCACAAACCCCTAGAGCCACTCTAGAAACGTCAACCCTACAGACCCTAAATACCCTTAACCCTACAGGCTTTTATCCTTGCAGGCCTTTCTTTTTACAACGCTTCAACATGCCTTTCCAGTCGGCGAGGTCGACTGACCCTGCCAGCCCCCTTTCTGTGCCCTCTGACGAGACCGCTGCAGCGCGCTCCGTCTCATCTGCCCTGGTCTCTCGAGCCTCCCCACCCTTGTCGGCTGGCATGTGAGCGGCGGGTAAGGGGGGCAAACGGCAACGGCAAGCGCTAAGTGAGAGAACGCCGACGAGGAGAGGGAGGAGGGAGGGTGAATAGAGGGCAGAGAAAGGAGGAGGGATGACCATTACGTACCCACGGTGGGTTCCCGAAGCCTTTTTCGGTTTGATTTTTCAGGAGTCACGCTTTGAGGCCACGCGGCCAGACTTGACCGCAGCAGCGAGGATGCCCGAGTCGGCGAAGCCCAGGCGCAGGAGCTCGACTGTGTGCTGCGCGCTTGACGGGGAGCCAGTGCCCTTTCTTCCATGGGATCGCTCTGGAACAATAATACATAGCATACCCAACCTTGGTATATTGTCTAGGATGAGTCGGTGTTTAGCTTCGTCACCCCTCTTGTAACGTTTGTAGTTTGTCGATGGGGGGTCGGCCTTTAGCTTCGTCACCCCTCCTTTCTTTGCGAGGTACTGCCCGAGGCGCAGCGGACGGAGGATCTCATGAGCATGCCAGCCGACGCGCGCGTCGAGTGCTGGGATCTGAACCGCTTGGGGTGGCCAACCATGACCTGGAGCGAGTTCGTAAAATTGTGCAAATCTGATGAGTTGCACTCGGTTGCCGTGGCAGCTGCTCGTCGGTGCAGGCGCGGGACACACTCGTCGTTCGAGAGGGGCGAGGTCATGCGCGGTCAGCGCGTATGGTGCTTTACCGGGGACAAGTACGACATCGCCTCGGAGGGGGACCTTCGCAACGCCACGAGCCTGAAACGTCTCCCCAAGGTCCCTCTGAAGAAGCTGGCGCAAGTGGAACTCCCAAATGTAAACGGTGTCATGGAGAACACGTTCGTCTTCCCCCAGGCGACGTCCAGGCAGCTGGTCGTGCAGAGGGGCTTCTGGGCGGATGCCAGCCACGTTGCCATCAAAGCAAGCGAGCAGCTATGGCAAGGCGGCACGCACGAGCACTTCCGAGCACAATCCGACATCTCGATATCACCGATTATCTCAGAATTACCGTCTTCATCGGCCAACACCTTCGCAGATGTCGTGCGTCAGCTGAGTGCAGACGGTGGCCCTAGGCCGCCGCGTCCCAAGCGAGCCAAGGTGAGTCGTTCGCACCCTCGTGCGCTCCAGGCTGATGCGGAGGGCCGTTCGTCTGGCGATGAACCTGCGGAGTCCAACCGCGGCGGTGACGACGACCAGCTCAGCGGTGGAGAGAGCAGCAACGGCGAAAAGGACAGTGTTCGCTCAACAGTGGGTGGGTCGAGAGGTACTACACAGCACAGCTCAACGGGTTCGTCTCCCTGCGTTCCAATTCCAACGGGTCCGTCGGCTTCGAGGCTATCCGACATGCCCCCTCCAGCGAAGAAGATCAAAGGCGCTCATGCACGAGATGGAGCGACAGCAGGGGGCTCGGCCAAGCTCACGAAGGACGCGCTCCGCGCCCTGGGCGACAGCGCGTCCGTCGGCCCTGCCGGCGTCTTCGGGGGGGAGAGCACCGAGGGCGGAGATATCGGCGACGAGGCCGAGCTTGGTGAAGGCTAAGGGGGTACTGTATACGCAAGCTTTTTATCCTTGTCAGGGGGGAAAGTCAATGTAAGTGCCGCGACCGTTTCGAAAAGGGCCGTGAGGCGGGCATGGGGATTAGAAACGGTCTACCGCCAGCCCCCCCCCACGATGATATGAATAAGAACTCGGATATGGGCCATGGGGCATGGGAGGATGGGTTGGGACGGAGGGATTGCTGGACTTAACTGAGGGAGGGATGCGATGGAAGAGAGGTTATCCGAGGAGGGAGTGGCCATCAACCCCTGCTCCTCCCATCACTCCCATCGCATATCTCCTACAGATCCCAGCCTGCCCTTTCTCCCTGCCACAATCTCCCTGCGAACCCCTCCGCAGCCCGCCCCGTCATTCCTAACCCCGTTGTGCGCACCCCCCAACGACTGATCGACCTTGATGTCGGACCCCGTCGGCTGTCAATCGCAATCGGGCCCCATGCCCCTGCTTTGGACGGTAACCACTCCGTGTCCGAAGACTCCCCCGTCGCATAGGCCAGTCAGTTTGCAGCAAGTTTGCAAACATACCCAGCAGGCGCAGACATCGTGGATGTGTGGAAGGGCCGATGCCCGATTTCCAAAGTTCAAGCCATGCAGCTGGACAAGCGCACCGTGGAGGGCATGCGGCGCAGAGTGCTTCGCTTGAAGCGCCGCCAGGACACCTGGAACGACGGCAACCGCTTGAATAACTACTGCAATCTTGTCCAGACTGCCTTCCACACTACGCCGCAAGCCATCGCCGACGCAGCCGCCACCTGGGCCGACGTAGTGAAGCACATGACCATTCTCCAGAACGAGGGCATCCAGTCTCATGACTGCACGGTCTTGGCAGTCGTGAAGAAGCACGTTTCGTCGTGTCAGGGGCCCGCGGACGTGGAGAAACTCCACAACCTTACATCTCTGTGGCGCTCGGGAATCACCCCACCGCCAAGCCCCGCGACAGCGGGGATCATCGACTGTGGCTTCAACGATTCGGTGATGGTGGCCGAGTACAAGGCGCTGTCGGCAAAAATGAATTGCAGGAGAGAGGTTGGATGGCCAGGAGGAGGAGGAGGAGGAGGAGGAGGAGGGGGTGGAGGATGAGGAGGAGGATGGAGGAGGATAGAGGAGGAGGAAGAGGGTGGGAGGAGGAGGAGGAGGAGGAGCGGGGAGCAGGAGGAGGGGACGCCCCTCCCCCAAGTTCTGGGCTTGTCTGCTATCCCCCGTTGCCCTCATCCACTCTACCCTCACCATCCACCTAGATTTAAAATGCGCCTGCCATCGCATTTCTTCAATGACCCCCTCTTCAAGTTATCGACGGTATCTGATCACCTCTGACTTATTGCTCCTGCTTGCTGTCACGCCCTCCCCCCGCTCCCCAAGGCGTCCGTGTTCGAAGGCTTCGTCATCCCCGTCGTTCGCATGGGTGTGGAGGGGACCCCGCTCCTCCTTAAGTGGTGCCGCTTCGTTCTCGACGAACTCAATGAGTGCGACTGGCTCGAGCTGAGCTCCAAGGTGTCTGCTGTTTCCAAGGATGTGAAGGTCATCGCGCAAGCTGCGACGGCCATTGTCACGAGCACCTTTGACGAAGATAACGTGGACAGGGGTTGGTTCTGAAATGTGATAATGATGATACGCCTGCCCCCTACCGAAAACTCCAGGTCTACCACTGCAGCCCAAGCGGAGGGAGGAGACTAGAGCGAGGACGAAGAGAAGGGAACAGGGGAAATCGGGTATGGTTAGGTGGAAACAGGGGGGTGGAGGGGACAGTTGGCGGGAGGGCGGGAAGGCACAACGCGGGGGGGGAAAGAATTAGCCAGAGGGGGTGACAAGGAACACACGATGAAACGACCCCGCCCCAAGAGAAACACATGTTTGACACAGGTTTACATTCCCCTTCCTGAGGAGGCGGTCAACGTTGTGCTCCAGCACAGGCAGTCTTCGGCCAACTCGCCGCTGGCCATTATCGCCACAGCAATGACGAATGCCGAGTACTGGTCGGACAAGCTGGCCGCAACGGCAACTGTGGTGGCGAATATCACCCCCATCTTGCCGAAGCTTGCAGGTGCGCTCGAGACACTGGTGTCGCTGCCTTCAGACCCCATCGTGCGCCTGACGAAGGTGACTGAATTGGTGAAGTTGTGCGTCCTTTGGTGCAAGGAGGTGCCGCTCCCGACCTTGGCGACCTTCTCTGACGGCCTGTGCGCCGCCGTGATTGACGCCGCGGAGATCGTCGCAGGCAAGCAGCCTGCACTTGAGGAGCTTACGCCGAAGTTGGACCTCCTGTCGGAAGCTTTCCTGGTGTGGCCTTCCAACGGCAATCTCACCAAGCGCCACCAGGAGATCGAGGAGGTCACGCAGAGCCTGCGCTGCAACGAGAAGTGGGCCACCATCGACGCCGTGGTGGTGTCCACGCTTGTCGTCATCAACCCACCCGCTGAAGCGGACCCCGCCCTGTTCGACAATTTCCCGCCCCAGACCTTCCACGTCATCAACCCCTTCCTGGATGAGCTTACGAAGATCTTGAACGTTTCGGTTGGCATTAAGTTGTCGGAGGACTCAGAGCAAGCGAGCAGGGCGAACTCTCTGCTGGACAAGCTCGTCAAGACGCTGAGCTTAAACGTTACGGATAGTGAGCATGATCTACATTCGATTATTGCAGCCGTTCGGGAGATGGCGAAGGTGGACGGTCTGGCTGATTCCACATGCAGGGATAAAATCAAGCT